GATTTATCAATCTCAGCTTAGCAAATGTCTTAAGTCAAAAAAGTTAAGATATAGCTGAGCAAAAATCTTAAAGCCCCATTCCCGGCAAAATTTCACTAAAAACTGACTTTTTTTTAGAAAATATGCATTTGCATTACTCCAATTATTATAAATCATGGAAAAATATTGGCATAATTCGAAATTTCGAATTAGTAATCCGAAATAACGGATTACTAATTCGAAATAACGAATTACTAATTCTAAATTTCGGATTAGTAATCCGAAATAACGAGTTACTAATTCGAAATAACGGATTACTAATCCGTTATTTCAGATTACTAATCCGAACTTTCGGATTACATTTTGATGATTTTATATACTTAAGTGGCACGAATAGGCTTTCGTACGTATGTTATCAATGGTATGTAAGATATGTTTAACTCAATTGTCTGCATTAGGGCTGTCTCTTATTACACAAGTGTCATTACTAGCAACGGAAAATATCATGTCGGCCGTTTTTATGTGTGATAACAGAACCTAAATCGAGGTAAGGCTAGGCCTAGCAGCGCAGCGTTGGATAGGCTAATGTTTTCGGCGCCTACGATATTTCTTCTCACGACCTGTCGCAAAATGAAACATGAAAATTCATCCGCATTTATTTTTTGTGTGGAACACAAAAAATCAAATTTCAGTCTTATTTTACATTTTTTTCATTCTTAGGAATGTCTAAATTCAGTTAAACTATCAATTCCGTATTATATTTATAAATCTTTATAACATTATACAAAAATTAGATTTTTTTTTAAATTGAAATTTTGCCGGGAATGGGGCTTTAAGCTGATTTATCAAACCGTTTTAGCAAAAAAGAATCGTCTTAGATGGCGCATGCGTAAAATCGACTTCTTGTAGCTTATAGAGGGCAGCAAATTTTGTCTTAAGTCCAAAAATATTTGCTTACGCATGCGTAAAAGCCATTTTTGTGATTATTATTTCAACCGGAAGTGGTATAGCGCTGCAGACGGCAGAGGGAGGTATAAAAATTTACAGGGGAACCAGTCATCTTCGCCCGTATGAATTCTAACAAAATGACTTGCTATTAGAAAATTATAAGAAAGGGCACATAGAAAAAAATTGTTAGATTTATCACTCCTGCCCGAGTAAAAAATTTGGGTGTGACTGGAAATACATTTTCTTTTAAAAACAAGAAAAGTAAACCAAAAAAATACAATATTCTGGTTTAATTTATGTCCGTTAATTATTTTATAATCGCAATAAGTCCAGTACAGCAAATGTTCGATCGATCTGATTTTAAAAAAAGTTTTCGGCATCCTGTGCAGTAAAGATAGTATAATACATACTCCAAGTATCGAATTGCACACCATTGTGTAGGGATTCAATATTTTAACATTAATTATGTCATCATAATAATTATAATAATGAAAATAATATATCAAATAAAATATTACTGTAATTAATAATATTTAAATTCGATTATGATAATAAATATAATGTAATTAATATTAAATGCTTATATTAAAGTAACCCCTATTACACTATATTGGTTCAATTTTCAACCAATTGTATAGCAGCTGGCGTTGCTACACAATATAGTAACTAATTAAAGGCACAATGTATCCTTTAAATGTTGCTTCTACGAATAGAGTGACCTGATTTAAACACAATATCCTGTACACAAAACCCATGATCAGCTTTCTTATTATACTGTACTGAAATTTACACATGATGTGTCTACAGTGCAGCAAAATGGATTTAAGTCAATTGCAGGAAAACCAGGTTGTGAAATGCAGTGGGCAAAGCTGAACTACTGTAAGTTCAATACCTGTAATAGGTAGGCAATGCTTTACTTTTAGGGGTATCAATTATTATCCAATCTAAATGTAAGGGTGTGTACAAATATAAAAGCACCATCTGGGTAGTTGGCTGAGAGGTATTTGTTCAAGACCAGCAAGTGTCCAATCACTTGGCTCCTCGATTAACCCTTATATTGAGAGTTAGACGGGCTAAGGACAATGTATGTATCCGTTATGTTTGTAGTTAGTTGTTCGGCAAGAATTTTTTATACCTTGCTTAGTGAACCCGCCTAACGCAAATATTGATGATTTCGAATAAAATTTAAAATTTTATTTTTTGCCAATTAGCGCACCCACCTCCACGAAAAATGGAAATTTCAGAAAAGAAATAGAAGTTTTCTTTATTTTTATTATGCCCTCCACTGCCTTGAAATCTCCAAAGATAAGATATGTGTATTTCTTCCTATATTATATAAATTTGATGCATTTATCCATCCCATTTTACATTCACCAATAAAATTTTATTTATATTTTCTACTCCAGCTAAGTTTTTAGCCAAACCATTTACTAAATAAGAAAATAAAAATTTATTTTTATTCTGCCCTCTCCGATGATCTATAAAAAATTCATTCCGCGAAACAAAGAATAAAAAGTCTCGCCTTACCGGAATCTACACAGACTTGCCTCATAGGTTTTGGCATTTGTTTTTTAGTGGAATAGTTGGAATTAAATTATTAAAATTATTGATCACTGATGCTCACTATGGTATCAAAATGTATGACATTTCAGTGAATACATAAAAAGTGCATATGATACAGTATTCTTACAATAACTTAAATTAATCTCAATGTATTTTTTTGAAACAGCCAATTCATAGAGCATTATAGAAGCTATCTGACCTACTGTATATAATCGGTATCTTTATTCAAAAAAACTCCTTCATAAAAAAATACATTAGTAGCCAAAAGCTAAATTAGTGTATTTTGTACAAAAGGAAAACAAGAACGAGAAACGGTAAAAACATCACATTAAAACAATACAAAATCAAACCCAAAGCATCAGTATAAGTTCACTACGTTAAAATTGCACAATTTGAATTTTTCAAAATAATTTCATTAGATAAGTGGTGGGGCTATTTTAAAGACAATACAAAACAAGAACCCAAACCATCAAAATTTCGCAAAGTTAAAAACAATTGCAAAATTGAATTTATTATTCAATTAATTTCATTAGATAAGGGATGGGGCTATTTTTAAAACGTTCAGTCCTCAGGAAAGGCATTTCGTAATTTCTATGTTTACGAAGTTTCATTGATGAAATATTTTTAGATTTTGGGAACCAGTGACTAAATCTTTTATCGTTGCTAATTTTTATAGCAAACTTTTTGCATAATAAAATCCTACGTTGTGTGAGTGATTCCAGCCCAAGTTTTTCGAGAGCATCCTGATAGTCAACATAATTGTTTACAAGAATGGACCGACATACACGTTTTTGCATCCTTTCCAAGGAAGTCTCCTGGTAAACTGTAAGTCTCCCAGACCACAGAGGAGCTGCATATTCTAGGATGGGCCGTATGTATCCCATGTAGACTGTTAACAGCTCATTATTATTGAAACCAGCCTCTTTTAATTTTCTTAACATGAATAGTTTCCTATTAGCCTTTTTGACCATTAGGTCAACATGATTTCCCATTTTAGGTCACTGCTTAGAACTACTCCTAGTAGTTATTAGCAACCGTTAAACGGTTATTGGATAAGTGGATGCTTATATCTGGAACATCATTGCGGCCAAAGTAGACTTGCATAACCTGACACTTGGAGGGGTTCAGTTTGAGTTTGTTGGTATGTGACCAGCAGTGGTTAACCTGTCTCTTATACACATCTTTATTCATGAATATGGTATAAGTCATACATATTAGTAACCATTAAGTCTAAAATTGCATTTCCCCTTGTGGGCAATCTTACAATTTGTTTTAAATTATTACCACTACAGAAAGATTTAATTTCAGTTCTATTAAAGTCTCCAGTGATCATAATTCCCGCTTGAGGTTTGTGGGTACGGATAATATCCACTGTTGACTCAATGTGTTCAATCAAAAGTTGCTGATGTGGAGATTCTGGGGGTATATAAACACAGCCGATGATCAAATATGGCGCTGCCCTAGATAGTTTGAGGTGAGACACTAATAACCAAATCATTTCAAGCTCTGGTGGTACTGATATAAAATCAAATATTTCGCATTGCAAGTTGTCCTTAACATATGCCACGACACCTCCGCCACGCTGATTAATTCTGCATTTGTTGAAGGCCATATATGATTGTATATTATACATTTCGGGAGCTGTATGTGGAGTTATCCATGATTCGGTTATAATGATGATATCCGCTTCGATGAGCTTAAATAGTATTTCCGCTTCTTCACGTTTATTCAAGATGGACCGGGCATTGGCAGTAGCGAAAATAGGGAGAAATGATGGGGCGGACCTTTTCTTTTCCAAATTGGTGTCATGTTTGTCCTTTGATAATTCAACGTTCACAACAACACGAACACGTTGGGAAGATTCTTTCAATTATGATATGATACTCAGAATATCAATAAATCACAGCTCACCACTATCGTAATAAGAGCAACTGCTTCTTTATTAAACAACATACGATCTCTCGTGAACTCTATTCTAACCCCGACCTAACCGGTCGCTAGGCAACTTAGGCCTAGAGGGCGGTATACCACTTAATTAGTGGTTAACATAGTAGCCCTACACCTCCCCAAGATCTTTAAACTTTAGGAATGATCTTCAAACAATAAAACATCACATAATACTCAAATTTCATTCTGTAAAAAGTCCTTATATCTCGCTGGCTTTCGCGCGACTCTTTTAGGTCGCTTTGGAGTATGGGTCGGCGTGGCATTAGGCACTCTAATTTAGCAGGGAGCAGGGAGTACGCTTCCTAATATACCGTCGATTACGTACGGGAATTCGACCGCCTTGGGTTCGTATGAGGTATCTTCTGTTCGGACCAATTTCCACCACTTGTCCATAGATAAATTAAAAGAAGACGACGTAAATTGTGATCCTCCGTCACACCAGAAAACGTTGGGTACACCAGTATTCATGAAGACTTCTCTTAGCTTTGAAATAGTTGCATGGGACGTTGTGTCCTTGCCAATTGCAATAACGGTGGGCCAATCAGTGAGGCAGCACACTAATATTAAGTAGTTTTGACCGTTAATGTGTGCAAGTCTGCAGCAATCTCTTGGAATGGCCTGCTTGGCTTCAATTTTTGGATCAATTGTTCCTTTGAGTTCATTGAAAGATGATCTTGACAGAACTGACAATCATTGATGCATGCCTCAATATCGGTGTCAATACCTGGCCAATAGACAATCATGCGTGCCCGGTCTTGAGCGCGACGAATTCCGGGGTGACCATGGTGGAATTTTTGCATAATAGTTTGGCACAATGACGTTGGGATGAGTAGTCGACAGCCATATACAATTAGGTCCTGATCAACAGACAAGTCTGGATGGACGCACCAGTATTTTTTCAAATGATCTGGGAGGTCTTTTTTCGATTCAGGGAATCCATTGATGATCAAGCGTTTTAATTCTTGGTACTGGTTTTCAGTGTTGGAAGATTTCCAAACTTGAAACAACCTTGTTTGGTCATCTTTGGGACTGTCGGCGACAGAACGTATAGCAGATATGGTCGGAGCTTCGTCCACATGATCTCCATTTACAATAGGTTGCTCGGCCAATTCATCTGAGGTGTTTGGCGGCTCATGTGGATGTCTGGAGAGTGCATCAGCTCTTAATTTCTCTTTGCCTTTGATCCATCTGGCATGATAGTTATATCGCGACATCCTAGTTGAAGTCTGACATTCATGATCTCATCTAGTCTGTGTGTGTTGAGGATGGGTACTAATGGATGATGATCAGTCAATATTTCAAACTTGGGTAGGCCTTCCAGAAAATTATAACACTTTTGAGCTGCCCATTCTACTCCAAGCAATTCTAATTCTATGACAGCATAACGTGTTTCAGTGTCACTCAGGTGTCTCGAGCCTGCCTGTACGGTTTTCCATGTGCCATCACTGTGTAACTGCATCAAAACGTATCCAATACTAAGTAAAATACGAATCTTGTTCGTGTTTTTCTTCGGTGTGATCACAATGGGTGCACACCAATCCGAGTGTTCAATGGTATTCTTTATGATACCTTGTGTCTCAAGTAGTGTGAGTTCAATTTTCAGTTTATCTGTGTAAGCAAATGGAATTTTGCGTGGGGTGCTAACACAAAACGGAGTGGCGTTGTCGGCTAGTTTGATGATGAACTTTTCACCAGGCATCGATCGAATTTTACCGTCAAGTGCTGATGGAAACTCTTTGCGCAAGGACTCGATAGTCAGTCTAGGTGTCGGAACTGGCCTAGCTTGTTTGACTGATCTGGGTGCTGGCACTGGTGTGCGTTGTCGTACTACGACGACAACCGGCTCAGGATAAGTCGACGGAAGGAACCCCAATGATCTGGAAGCTGACCAAGAGAGTAGAGGTACCGTTCGTCGACGTCATCTGAGAATTATAAGTCAACCTCTACCTTCTGCTGCTGTGTAGCGAATGTGATTGGTATCCAACCAGCTATCTTTAATGTTGTTCCACCAACAGCTTCCGGTTCCAAATCACAAGGAAACAGATTTCTCACATCATCCTTAATTCTTCTGAGTAAAGTGGTAGACTCTAAGCAAATGTCCGATCTACTGTCTGGTAGTATGTCTAAGCTGACTTGTGACCTGTTGTGTGTAAGATATACATGAGCGCTAGGTGCTTTTTCGATTTTGACACTCTTGACGGTGATTGCTTTAGTTGTCGGTTTTGTTTTATTGTTACGTTTCCCTGAACGACAGACAGAGGCATAGTGTCCCATCTTGTGACATTTGTTGCACTTGGAATTAGATGCAGGACAGTTTGACTGTCCTCTAGCATGGCTGTCACCACAGTAGTCGCATTTGGTTGGTCGTGGTGTGTCGGGTTTTGCCGTTCGTGGGTTCTTTACCGCAGCTAAAGTTGGGGGCGCTTTTGACATCTCACAACGTTGTTTTTTCGCAGATGATAGTGCTCGTACTTTTTCAATAGTCTTATCGAGTGATAGATCGTTTATTGATAAAAGTCGTTCAGTGAGAGTTGGGTCAAACAATCCCTCCAAGATTTGGTCTAATTGCCTTTTTTTCACGATCGGCGTTGCCAAAATGAGGAAGACTAAGAAATCGTCGAAGTCCTCGTCAGGTCCTTGGGTTCTAGCCCAGAATCGTTTACGTTCTACGGATTCATTTATTTGTCCTTGAACATATTGCTCCATGGCTTGGATTATTTTATCCGTTTCTTTTAGGTCAGCTGCTGTCAGTCCAAGGTTCATGACAATTTTCAATGTTTCTATGGACATGCACATTTTTAGCACGTTTACCTGAAAATCCGGCGTTTCTTTATCTAGGCGGGTCACTGACTTGTATGCTTCCCACTGCTGCTGCCATACCTTGATTCAGATGCCCGGTCAGATGATAAGGCTAGGCGAGGGGCGTCAAATTTACAATTAAATTTCGGTGGCATACTGTAGTTACTGAGTGATGTCGTGCGTGAAGACTGTAATGCAATCAAGTAAGATGCTCACAGCGCCATGTATGATACTCAGAATATCAATAAATCACAGCTCACCACTATCGTAATAAGAGCAACTGCTTCTTTATTAAACAACAACATACGATCTCTCGTGAACTCTATTCTAACCCCGACCTAACCGGTCGCTAGGCAACTTAGGCCTAGAGGGCGGTATACCACTTACTTAGTGGTTAACATAGTAGCCCTACACTGTACAGCAGAATTAAAAACCAACACCTCAGATCCAGGGGTTAGCGACGTCCTCTTCCGCCAGCTTCAAGGATTCAACCATATTTAAGTATTCGAAGGAGCTATCAAATAATTATTTATTTATACCTTGCGATTTCAAAGCGCTGACATCTGAAAAAAAAAAATGCTTGTGATACCAATGATATTTGCATCGTGTAAAGTAATAATATACATATTATATATTAGGTAAATCACAAGATTAATTTCTCACATTAAATATATATTGCTCTTTGCTGTGTAAAAGCACATATACAGTAGATCTATATTTATTGTTGTGCTCTTCTCATATTCATTCCAAAAGCAAAAAGCTACCAAATATCAGTACAATAGATATAAAATTGTGAATAAAAGTGTAATAAACACTAATGATTGTAATAATGAATGGTGTTTGGAGTCCTTTATTGGTTATGTATTGCATTTATTCACATTTTTTAAAAACAGTGGTTCATATGGTAGGTAGCATAAATTAAATTACTTTCGTCTTTACTATTATAATATGTTGTACATTATTGTTGTGATAAATTGTGTGGGCAGTGTAGCTGTTATTAGCCAAAAAGCCAAATCCTAATATAAGCTGAATTTTGCTAAATATGGATTTTATAAACCATAAAGCTGATGGAATTGAAGCTTTTGCTGCTTATATTCATTGTTTTGGCAAGTAAAATTTCTGTTTTGCTAATTAATGTCATACCAGTTTTTTTACTAAAAATTATAATTTAAGTAATTGCAAAATGAAGACAGACTTTGGTGGCTTTGTGCAAGGCCAAAGGAAAAAACATGTTTGTTTGCTCTCCTGCACCCGCCTCTAACTCACTGGAACAAAAAATAATTTCCATCTACCCCTATTTATCATAATTATTTTCAAAAATGGACAGGCAAACAAACAATTGATTTTTTTTTGGCCTAATTAATTCAACACTGCTTTTATAATATAGGCCCTAGTACGTGCGAGGACACCGCCGGTATGACGGGCCTCGTATCGGCTTGTGATTTTTCTGTTTATCACTCGGTGACGCTATGAAAAGTTTGACAAAGTTTTGTGTTTTTCTGAATGAATGGAACGCAATACTCGACAATTAATTATTATAGCAACTTTTGGTAAACTTTATAGTTGCCTAAAAATATTTCGACAGTATAATGGTTCCATATATCCCGAAAAATGCGTTTTTGTTTCGTGTAACTCCTAGGCTAACTTTATGTACTATTGCACTATCAGCGTCCATCGCCCAACAGGGGCAGACTGCGCCAGCGTCCGCGTAATAAAGACTAACTATTTGGCCTAGTGCGCTCGCACTTGCAAAATCTGAGGCGGCAGCCTTTGAATGAGATAAGACGAGAATTTTCGTCTTAAGGCAGGTATGTTTTCATCTTAAAGTTAAGACGAATTTAAGCAATTTCTAAGCTAAGCAATATTGATAAATCTGACTTAAGCAAAAAAATGGATTTAAGACAAATTTAAGCAAATTTTCTTGCTTAGCAAATTTGATAAATTCGCCCCCTGGATTTTAGGGCGATGTATTTCGTGTTTTTTCGTGCTTCAAATCAATCATTCGATCATTTAAGAACGTATAGGAATAGACATAATATACAACGAAACATAAAGCATCAAATACTGTAAACTTTAATAATATTACGAAAAATATAATAAAAATCCACTTGTTTTTTTTTTTCTAAAATAATACACAGAATCATTGAAAAAAGCAATGCCGGTCGGCAGACTGTCAGCGTCGGCCGGAAATTTTGAGTGCCGGACGGGGCATAAATAATGTGACTTTTTGTGGCGTTTATATACTTTCTGCTTCAAATTCAATCAATCATTTAAGAACGTATTATAGGCCTAGACATAATATACAACGAAACATAAAGCATCAAATACAAGCTTTAATATTATATTACGAAAAATATAATTTGGCAGTATATTAATATTATCAACATTCTTCTTGTTTTTCTTCTTCAATATATGCATCGACACTGCAATATGAAAATAATAAAATCCGTTGGTTTGATTATCAACATATAAATTCGTTTGTTTCAAATAGAAAAAACGAAATATATTATGAATCTTAAATCATTATTATTAACTTACACAAACATAATAAAATCCACTGTTCGTTTGTTCCAAATATGTCAAACGAAATATATGAATCTTAAAAACATTATTATTAACTTACACAAACCTAATAAAACCCACTGTTTATTTGTTTCAAATAGATAAAATGAACCTTATGAATCTTAAATAATTTATTAACTTACACAAGCCTAATAAAATCCAATGTTTTGTTTGCAAACTCATCGCAGTATTAATGCCATTGAATTGCTTAAAACGATATTAATTAATTTGCAGCAAAATACCTGATAATACAACACGATTATTAACATATGATTGCATATATAATGTACATTCGTTTGTTTTAAATAGATAAAACGAAACATGCCGTGTAAATAAATAATTATTAACTTATACGGGACTTATACAAAACCTAATAAAATCTACTGTTTTGGCAAACTAATGGCAGCATAATAATGTCCGGATTTCCTTAAAACCACATTAATTTATATTTTCAACATAAAAAGACCTAACAATAAAACACGAAATAATGGACTGTAGCAGCAATAGCTTTGCATCTACTTGGTGTTCCATACAAATATATATCGACTGAACTTGTTCACGGCCGAACCGGTCCTACACCATTCTAAACCGACTTGACCTAGGCCTATGCCAAACCATTTAACTACACTGTATTGCATTGTGAATGCGTCATCGGCGTTCCATACATATACACACATTTGCGGCCGTTCTGGAGGGCGGCCGCTATAGGTAGCGGCCGATATGGGCCTAATTCAGAAATGAATTTTGCAAATTTTCTTAGGCTATGAATCTGGTAGCCGATCATTTCTCGGTCGCGCTTCGTTTCGGTCGCGCCTCATTTCGGTCGCGGTTTATTTTGAACAAATATATGGAGCGCCGAAGGAGTCGCGAAATTTAATATGCCTAGGCCCAATATAATTATAATTAGTTCGTCAATCGGTTTATCGTAGGTCAAATATAAGTATTTTTTATTTCCGTTTTGCTATCTTTCTACTAACATATTTTCTTTCTTCCATGGAGTTTAGTATGTGCTTCATGCTATTCGTTTCGTTGCGTTTTCATACTATTTAATAATTATGGTCTATGAAATATATCTTTGATTTTAATTTAATGAATTGAATGTTTTTACCATCTGAAATCTATTTCATAATTTACTTATAACAATAATCATTACATTATTTAATCCGATGTTTCTATACAATAAATGTATTCCAGAGTTTGGATAAAACATACCAAGAGAATTGAGGGAAACACAATTAAAGAAATAAACGAATAATGCACACATTATCATTCTTCACTTGAATCTTTAGTTTTCTTTGATGTCAATGCGCAGTTCATAAATATGAATATATATATTTA